GAAAGCAGCCACAAAGGACCAGGACAGTCCTACTGACTCAAGTCTTCTCTTTTCCCAGCTTATAGGGGGGAAAGGAACTTCAGCTGCTTTTAGCTTATTTAATGCTCATCAATTCAGTATACCCTAGAATTTAGCTGCTCTCTGTCCCTCCAAGATAGGACCCAGGAAAAGCAGGTATGGCCTGACTTGCCTCAATCAGGCCTCCTAATTGAAGCAATGAGACAAGCAAACTATAATTCACAGTTTCCACTCTCCTCCCTCGACCCACACCTTCCCCCACCACTGGCTTCAATGAACTCCCAAATCTCCAATGTGTGATGATTCTTTGCCAGTGTGGCTCAAAGGGCTAATAAACCAGGACTTCTCAGACAGTTAGAACACAAGCTCATTCACCAACAGGAACCCGAGAATGGCCACACAACAACCTAGTGTTTCTTATAGCGATTCTTTGGGGTTTCGCCACACCCTGTTTTGTCACAGTTGAGAGCACCTGGATTCTTCCCCAGCCCCAGGCTTCCCAGGAGGCCGGGGAGCTCATGGGTGATGGCCCGCTCAATCTTCTCCAGAAAGCAGCCCCCCATGTAGGAGCACTGCTGGGACAGGAGCTTGAAACTAGAAATGGGGTTGATCCCAAAGAAGTCCTTATAGGCCTCTCGGTTGGGAAGGTCAAATTTGCTGACGTTGGTCTTTGCCAGGATGGTCTTGAAGATATAGAATTTATCAGGATCTTCCACAATGTCCTTAAAGACCAGCTCTCCATCACTGAAGAAGGTCATTTTGTCCTTGTACGTCTGCAGATATCGGTCGACCAAAAGGGCGTGGATGCGAACCCGGATGGCATGCTGGCGGATGAAGGCAATCTTGTTCTCCAATCTGTTCTCGATCACCTGGTTCAGGTCTTCCAGGAGGGAGATCTCTTCCTTGAGAAACAGGTCCCGGTGAGTATCGGGCTTGTAGTCTTGTGGCCAAAAGGAGCTGACGTAGACCCTTGGGGGCTCAGTGACGTTGATGAGCGGGGCCAAGCTCCAGAAGAGAGCCCCGTAGACCCGCATGAGCATCTGAGTGGCCAGGTTGTCCGCCTTGTTCAGGATGATCCTTATCTGGGATTCACGCCCCTTCAGCTGGCGGAACAGCGTCTCCAGTTCCAGACCCACATCCAGCTTGGTTGGGTCAAAGACGACAAAGATGAGGTCAGCTCTGTCAATGAACCACTGGCACACATCGTTGAAGGGGTAACCTTTGGGAGAGGGAGTGAGAAGTCAGGCTGAGCAAGCATTAGCCCAAGCCCCTTGTGCCTCTTGCCAGAACCAAACCATCCCACAGGTTGAAGGAAATAACGGCATTAAGGATTTTCTGGCCTTCTGAAGGCTCTTAAGAATTAATTGTGTATCTCTTGCCCTTTGTCAACCTTCAACCAAAACCAGATTCTTGCTTTAATCTAAGTGAAATCCAAGGTTCCAGGGAAGCAAAATGCTCTTTTTGAAATGGAGATTTTCCTACTATCTAAAAAGATCCGGGGCAGTGGTGAAGATGTTGAAGGAAAAAAAGTCAGGGAATTAGAAGGATGTGAAAGAGAGGATCTACCAGTACTAGACTTATGGAGGTGATCACTTCTTAAGTTATATAAATGTCTAATCACTATGTTCTACACCTGAGATTAGCAAATATTGTATATCAACTGTAATTGTAAAAGCATTTTAATTAAAAAGAAAAGAGAGGATCCATCATTTAGTGGAAAGAAATGTGAATCTGGCATAAGACCCGGGCTAGAATTGGGGCTTTGTCACTGGCCAGCTGAATATTAAATGCTTCCAAGTTTTAGCATTTCAGCTATAAAATGAGAACTGTGAAGCCTAGGTTGATCTCAAGAGTACTATGTTGCTACAAATACAGGAAAGCACCTAACTAAAACTTCCAGTCACAAGGTAGGTGCTTAATATCTTGACATTCCTTCAACTTCTTATTTTCAAAATGAGGAGGCTAGGAATACCTGTCTTGGAATTATTTTACAACAATCAGCCAATAACGCATAAAATTACCTACTATATACTAGGAGTAAAATAAAGGTCAATATTAGTGATAATATTATTACTAGTCATAAAACAGGGTCTGGTTATAACCAAAACAGGAGTGAGAGCCATAAACTGAGATCTATCATCTGGTCATATGTTCTACAAATGCCTGTTATGACTCATCTCTGCAGATAACCCTGAGTCATGACGATACTCAGTGGCCTATGTACAGCCTGGTGCCTGCTGGGCCCAAAGTGGCACTCCCCTGTCACTTGAAGGTAGGTAGGGCTTTTGATACAGGCTTATGTTGAAGCAGGCCTGGTAAAGCAGGAAGAATTAAAGGTCAGGTTCAACCCAGCCCCAGGTTAGCCAGAGGTCAAGTACACCTGGACTGAGACCCAATTAATCCAGGCCCTTGATCAGTCAGGACAGCCCGGGCCTCCTAAATGACAGCTCAGCCCCAGCGTGGACCTTGAGGAGCTACTTACAGAGAAGATCAGCTTCCTCTTGGGAAAATCATGATCACCTCCAAACCAGATCAGTCCTTTGGGAGGTAAAAGGACAAGGTACTCCACACCTAAGTGGCACCACAGTAAAACAAGTAGGGGCTGGAGGCAGAGAACACATCCCCTGGTGTTGGGCAATGCTGGCCACATTTCCTCCCCTCTGCCTGCCTACCACCCACTGTCCAAAGCTCACCCTGTGTCAGAAATGAGTGCTGAATTACCTCTTTCTTGCTGTTTGCGGTTCTCAATGATGCCTGGTGTATCCACAAAAGTGACCCGCTCTAGAAGTTTGTGGGGAACCTCAATGCCAATCAGCTTTTCCAGGAAATTCTGGCCAAACTTCTCGAGGGGTGAGAAGGACCGGGTACTGTCAGCTGCCATGACAATACCCTCGATGGTTTTTAGCTTGGGCCCATGCATGATGACCGTGAACTCAGAGGTGGTAGGCTCAGCACCTGCACACATAAACACAAGGTTAGTAGGAACACAGTCATCTCCTGGGAAGAGACCTACTGCAAAGTAGGTGGGTAAGCAAGGTATTTCAGGGAGGGTTTGCCACAAGAATCAGCTACTATGTTTGCTAAGCCAGTGACTTCCCTTTTGTTAACTGTGGATGGAAATATATATATAAATTTACCACTTTAACCATTTTACGTGTATAGTTCAGTAGCATTAAGTATGACCACCATCCATCTCTAGAACTTTTTCATTACCCCAAACTGAACTGTATCCATTAAATACTAACTCCCCATTCTTAACTTCCCCAGCCCCTGGCAACAACCACCATTCTACTTTCTGTCTCTATGAATTTGATGACTCTAGGCGCCTCATTAAATGGAATCATATGACAATCTGGTTTATTTTGCCCTGGCTGGTGTGGCCCAGTTGATTGGAGCGTTGTCCCATGTACCAAAAGGTCACGGGTTCGATTCCTGGTCAGGGCACATACCCAGGTTGTGGGTGCAATTCCCCATTGGAGCACTTATGGGAGGCAACTCATCAACATTTCTCTTTCACACAGATGTTTTTCTCTCTCTCTTCCTCTCCCTTCCTCTCTCTCTAATATCAATAAAAATATATTAATAAAAAAAATGGTCCCCACGTTTCACCCATGTTGTAGTATGTATCAGAACTTTATTATTTGTTAAGGCTGAATAACATTTTGTTTATCCATTCATACATCGATGGGTATTTGGGTTGTGTCCACCTCTTGTGTATTGTGAATAATGCTGCTACCAACATGAGTGTAGCTGCTGGTTTCTTGTATGTGATTTTCATTATTATTGATGACACATAAAAACAGATAAATGTTTTGTTTTGTTTTGTTTTCATAGCGATTTTACATTTGACATTGAAATACAAGAATCACACAAGAAAATCCCACCTGTATAAAGCTGGTAGCGAGTGTCTTCCAACCCGAGGAGGTAGTTTATCATGGTGGATTTGCCAACGCTCCACGGTCCCAGGAACAGCACCATTGGTTTGGAAGTGATTTCCCCATCTGTGGGCAGCAGGAGTTAGAGGTGGAAGTGAGCTAACAAGTTTCTCACTACAGGAGCCACACAGTTCTTCACACTGCATCCCAGACAGTCCATCTAATTGGGTTGTGAAATGCTACGTTGGCCCAGTCAGCATGTAGCAATCAGTAGTACATCTCTTGCTATGCAAGTGCCATCACCCATTTAAAAGATACCAGAAGATACCATTTGGGCCTTGCCCAGATGCTTGGCACACTAGCACCGGAAGGAGGCACTAAGGGAAGTCAACAGACACGGACGCAGAGCTTACTCTGCATGAGGCCTCCCGGTTTCAGTCTGGGAGAGAAGGGTTCATAAAAGGAGAGCAGAGAGCTGCCACAGAGCAGGGAGCTGTGAAAACTCTGTTCTCTGGATTGGTAACAGAAGAAAGGGTATGAGAGGGGAAACCAAGATGGCGGCATAGGTAAACACCTGAAATTGCTGCCTCACACAACCAGTTCAAAAATACAACTAAAAGACAAAACGGACATCATCCAGAACCACAGGAAGGCTGGCTGAGTGGAAATTCTACAACTAGAAGGAAAGAGAAAAGCACACTGAGACTCAGAGGAGGTGTGGAAGTAAAGTGCAGAGGTACAGAGGCGCGCTCGGAAAAGGGCTGGCAACTGAGGACGCGGGTGTCTTTTTCAATCGGGAGGGAAACACACGCTCCCGCTCTGAACTCCAGTTCCGGGTGAGTCTCTGGGGACCCAGATTCATATGGGGAGAAACTGGACTGTCTGGCAGCGAGCGGAACTCGAGGGCGGCTTTCTCTCAGAGGTGCTTGCAGCGATTACCA